CACACACACACACACACACAATGCGTGTACAATGTGTGTTGTGTACCCCGACCTGTTGGTTGACATCCACGGTATAAATCCCTCAGGTCAGGGGCTCGAATCCCTTCTGGTACATTTGAAAAAGTTAGATAGTTGATGATTTTGCCCGCCCTAAAAAGTAATATTGATTCGCAGTGTATACAGATCCATTCTCGGCTCAGATTGAGCCAGAGTCAAAACTCTCACCTAAATCTCGCTCCAAATAAAACACGAACGAGTCACCGTTCCACTATGCCTAACCCAAACCGACTCGAAATCAGATCATAAACAGCCCTAATAACAATAATAACATAGAGTTTAGAAGGCAGATGATAGAGATTAGTAAAATACCAATTCCAACTGCAGGAGGTAGAGTGAACTGTGTCAGCAGCACGTAACGAAACAGTGCATCCTGAGGCAGAAAGCCAATGGCGTCCGCAGCCTTAACCACAGCAATCCCTGATATGGGCAGAGCTATATATCTCACTAACCCAACTGCTATAACTAAAGAAGGCCCCACTGCTGACTTCCTTAACCCTGGTTAACGAAATTATTAAATTACATAAATAATTTATGCAAAGATTAAAATCATAAATTATGCAAAATTGAAGTTTGAAGATTACCGTTGGTGAGATTTCCTCCAAGAATAAGAGTTGTGCAGGGTAGAGTTCCGTCTCTGTGGAGAATTTAATTTAACTGGTAATTAATTAATTAGTTTTTTTCTTAATTAATTAGTAATTAAAAAAAGGAAAAAAAATAACTTCCGATTTTTTTCTCGCAAAATATATTTCTTATTAATTTTTAGATATTTAAAAAATAATAATAAATCAAGTTGAAGCTCACCCCAGCATCTTAATGGAGTCCTCTATAACTCTAAGGGGAGCACTCTCTCCAATCATAAGCGATTTTAACCAAGGTATTGCACCAACAACAAATCCAACCATCTGCATAAAATTAAAAATATAAATACATATCAAAATCTTTTAAATCTAATAAATTATCTATTTAATAGTCCCCAGCTATTTGCAAGAGATCATTTTAGTCTCAGAGTTTATATAAGTATCAAGTTAGTCTCCAGACTCTTCAATTTGGGACTGAAACAGTCACCATAAAGGGAGAAAATATTACATCAGGAGTTCTGATGCGGTTTCATGTGAGGATAGTAATATTTAGGTGTTATTGACAGTACTGTGTTGTTATTTTATCAAAATAACACCATAGTACTACTAATAACACCTCCACTAACACCATCCGCACTTAATCCGAATGTAAGTCATTCGGATGTAATATAAGCTCAATTCTAGAACAATCAGTGACTAATTTGACACTATTATAAATTCTGAGACAAAAATGGCTGAGACTATATTAAAAATACTGTAAAATATAAATTACTGCTGCAATATTTGGTGGTTCCATGAGTTCCTCCACAGTCTGATGAACAACTCCAACTATTTTCTTCATGAAAGACACACTGCTGCTGCTCAGTTTTTCATCAGACAACAATGGCTTCAACTATTAACACAAAAAAAATATATAATAATTTCAATATTATCCATATTTATAAAAACATATATATACAATTTAATTATTTCTCTTACAATCATTTGGTCTGAGTATCCATCAACCGATTTAGTTGATGGAATCAGCTGAGCCTCTTTATCACTGCTGTCTTCCTCACTTTCCGAATCATGAGTTTCTCCGGCGGCTGAGTTTTCATCAGCGGCGGCGGAGGCCGAGATCTCCGGCAAACCTTCTTGCTTTAGCTTCCTATATCTTTCACCATCTTTTTTCATGAGACTGTAAGTGTGCGTCCATATGAAGATGCCCCCAAGCTGTAAAAAACAAATTTTGGCATTTACATATATACCTCGATGTTAAAAAAAATGAAAAAAAAGTAAAATTTAATGCAAAATATTATGTGGATTCATGTAAAAACCTGAAATTTTAATGAAAAAAAGAATTTTTACCGCCATGGATAGAGAAACATAAGAGGTGCCACGCAGACTGCAGCTGCTCTCACCTCCAAAAGGATTTCCTGGCTCTCCACAGACGGCTGGAATAATCATGAGCATGAGATTTCCTAAATTTCCTGCATTTGATTTCTATTTGCATGTTAGGACATGATAAATTATGAAATTGCAGGGAGTGATAAATGTTAATTATAATTTATGAATATACCAGCAGAACAGCTAGCTACAACAAGGCCTTCCAGATGGCGTGGTGGTCTGAGGATCTTCACAGCTAGCCATCCGAGAGCTCCGCCAATTAAGAAGGTGATGGCGATGTTAACGGGCATAAACCACCTCGTAATTATTCAAACAAAAACAAGATAAAAAAATTCAATTTTTTTTACATTTACATGCATACCCCCAAATTCCTATGTATTTACATATTAAAATCTAAGCATTACTTTTTACATTTATACCACCCAGACCTTTGACATGGAATGTTATGGCGGTCAGTTGAAATTTGCTATTTATTAGTATAGATAATAAACTTTGTTTTTTTTTTATTATTATTATGAAGTTTAGGCATTATAATAATGTTGTCCCTGCTCAATATACTTTTTATTCTTTTTCATGCTAAAAAATAATATGCACAGATCTCGAGATAATCAGTAGTTATTTCAGTCGGTCCACCAAGCGTTCTCTCTCGGTTAACTCGCTTTAGTTGACCGACCAATCTCTCTCCCTCCGCCACCTCACTTAGTCGGCCGACAAACACGGATGTGAAGTCTGCATCGTTCTCGAGACGATCCAATGATTAAAATAAAAATGACTAAATGTCATTTGTTTTTCTTTTAGAAGTATAGTCTGCATTTGTAATTTTTGTACTTTTCACTCCTTATTATTTTCTATAAATAGAAAGATTTTATAATATATAAAAGTGTGGGACCTTTTTGGTAACACCCAATTTACCCACAACTATGGAAGTCCTCTTCTCTCTCTCTTCTTTTCTCGCTTGATCAGCTGCTTTATTCTTTGGACACGATCTATAACTATTTATAATTACTTTAAATTTAAGAAAGCAAATAATTTTTTTCATGGAAAGGTAAGCTAGCAATATGACATATGTAAAAACTAAAGCTTTCCAATGTAAATACAAAGTATTCAGTGGCATGTATGTAAATATTCCTAAAAATATATATTTAGAGAGAGAGAGAGAGAGAATGAGAGAGTGAGAAATAATTACCAGGAGATGAGTTCCTGAAGAGTTACAGTTTTGGCGAGGGAGGAGAAGATGAGTGAGGGAGTAAATACAGCAAAAACAATCTGTCGGAAGTGATAAATTAATAATTAGAAAGTAAAAGATCAAATTTTTTTCTTATAATTTTGTATTTAATTCTTTTACCTTGTTCAAGTCTCGACGAATTCCATCAGAGAGGAGATTACTGTAACCTGATGCCAGAAAGGCTCCAAGAGAACCCACTAACAGAAGTTGTAGGACAGGCATGCTTGCCACTATTAACAGTGATAAAAATCCCATTTTTATTCTAATTATTTTCTCTTCTTCTTCTTCTTCTTCTTCTTCTTCTTCTAACTATTTGATTTTGCAGAAATCTGAGACTCACTGATCAATCAATTCTGCAGGAAGAAGCCAAAAATTACTAAAAATATGTAGTAGAAGTTGCTGAATGATACTGATTCATGTCATGCAAACAAAAAAAATTAATTTTGTGTTGATTTGAGGAAGTTAAGAGCTTAGATTTGTTACTTCAATTAAAATAGAAAGAGAAAGCGTGTGACAGAGAGAGAGAGAGAGAGAGATTGTTGAACTTACGTTGATGGCATGAAGAGAAGAAGGATGAACGAAGAAGAATTACTCTGAGAAACAGAGCTTTTATAGACACTGAGGTTGTAGAGAAGTAAACGGGAGAAGAGAGGGAGAGGGAGAGGGAGAGGGAGAGGGAGAGGGAGAGGGAGAGGGAGAGGGAGAGGGAGAGGGAGAGGGAGAGGGAGAGGGAGAGGGAGAGGGAGAGGGAGAGGGAGAGGGAGAGGGAGGGAATTGGCCGCTTGGGGGAGGGAGAAATTGGTGGAGGTAGAGAGAGAGAGAGAGAAAAAGGGAAGATGGAATTCTACTCTCTTAATTCTTAAAATTGAATTTAGAAGTTCACATCCAACCCACAAAATTTGATATTTACATTTACAATGATTTTGATGTGATGTTGTAAATATGGATGATATTTATGCAAAATTCTCTCCACCAAAAACAAAAAGAATATTTGGAATATACTTAAAATTTTAATCAAGTCATTTTTAAAGTTAATTTTTTTAATGATGAAAATAAAATTTAAATGAATAAATTAAATAAATGTCACATTCAAAAATAAATTGAAAATTTTAAAATTCATTTTGCTGCAATTTTTTTTTTATAAAAAAATACATTTTTTTAACAGCTTGAGGTACTATTTTTAAGCTGTTAAATTCGCTTTAAAAATCGGGCGATATAGAATTTAATCGATTAATAGTGCAGTTTACTTGTCTGAATAGATAAAAGTACATTGTGACAAAACTTTGACTAGAATATGTGGACCAAATAATGCTTTGCGCTTAATTGGGAAGATACATTAATTAAGAAAAACGTGAGATACGGGCCCACTACCATTCTCATGTGTCTAATAGTCTGTTTCTATTATACGAGTTTGCAACCGCCCTCATGTGTCTAACTATTTGAGAACGGCCCGCACTTCCGGCAAATTGGTCAGAGGAGGATTCAAATCCGTCACCTGAGGCGACTTATGACCTTCAAAGAAGCTGCTCTACCAATAGGCCACAGCTGGCGGCACTATCAGTTATCACAGACGATTCAGTTAGGCCCCCATGAACCGTCGAAAAATTGTTGGAATTATATGAACCGACTGCTTTATAATGTATAGTGACGGAATTTGAGAGTCGGAAGTAGGTTGCGAGTTCATGATTTTATCCATGGGTAGTAGCCACATAAAAACAACCATAAGATTAGAATAGTACAATGGGTTGTTGTATAACAGTTAATATGAGGACGGGTCGTGGGGATTTGGAGGCCCTTCAATTAATAATGTCTATGCAATTAAGCATCCCACCATAAATTTATGAAAGAGAAGTATCATGGAGTGTTCCCTCGAAAAAAATATCATGTGCGAAGGAGATGGGTGCGATTTTTGTGATATTTAATGATATTGTGATGATATTCACCACAATGACGCCAATCCGCACATGTGAATTCCGCATGTAATATTCATTCAAAGGCTAGCGGTCTGTCACGGACAAAAAATACCACATCGGCTAGGTATATAGCTGAAAAGTAGTATTTAAATCCTGGGTTGCGCACAACCCTTAAGAGTTTTTTTGGGAGGTGATAAGTGGTATCAGAGCATATTACTGTCTGTCAAGTGTGTGGACTCTCCATGGTTCAGTGAGACCATCGGAAAAGCCGATCCATGACGAGAGCATCATGTGATTGGTTGGAGGAGAATGTCACAGACAAAAAGTCTGACATCGACTAGGTGTAAGGCCGAAAAATAATATTTAAGTCCTGGGCTGCTCATCACAGCTCTTTTGGGAGATGAAAGGTTGCTCTTAAGCCAAAAAATAATATTTAAGTCCTGGGCTGCCCATCACAGCTCTTTTGGGAGATGAAAGGTTGCTCTTGACTATGGGCACTAATAGCAAGTTAATATCAAATAGAGTCATTTGCATACATACCACACAATTCATTATGTTCTTACATATCTACCTACTAAACTTCCAAATTTACATTCACATCACTCAAATATCTTTAACATTGCACCCCTTCTATATCTTTTTAGAAGTAAAAAAAACAAATTTTCATGCCTAGTTTTATGACATCGGTTATATTTAATAAATATTAAATTATAGGTGTTATGTATGTAGATACATAAGATTTGTGTGGCATGTATATAAATTTCCCTATCACATAACAGCCATAGTCATCAATCGGTCAGCTTTTTATTGCTATAATCACCATTATTAACGTTAATTAGGTAGTAATTAAGAATGTTTAACTCTTTATGCCTTCTGTATCTATTTAAACACGTGTATCAAAAAAAAAAGTGAGTAAGACTTTGAGTTAAAAAGAGTGAGCCCAAAAGGTAATATGTCTGATCCGACTCCACGACTCTCACGAGAAACTATACCCTCGACCACTATATCGCGGGTAAGCACACATCCTAGCTCAAAATTCTAACAATAAACGTTTTAGAGTATGAATTTTAAGTTAAGACTGGTGCTTATTCGCTACATAGTGGTTGATGATATAGTTTTTCGCTCTTCGCTGGTTCGAATTGTGCATATTATATTTTGAGCTCATCTTTCTAAGAGAAAAAAAAAAGTTAGAATATCTAATTAAAATATAGTGATATAATTTACTATTTTTTAGATAAAAAATTTTATCATAATATTTTTATTTAATTTTTTTTTTCCAAATTCAACTAAAAATGTTAGAAAAAAAATAATTTTTAATAATTTCTTGGATTATCTACAAATATATATCACACAATTTTCAAATGTTTATATATCTTATCTCTAAACTCGCAAATTTATATATATAGCACTAAAATTTTAATTTCACATCAAACTTATTATTTTTATTTAATTTTTTTTTAAATAAAAGTGCTCTTTTTTAATGCCAGGTACATAAATTTAAATATAAAAACATAGATGCTAAATACATAAATATATATGAATTGCGCGATACACATCTAATTTTTTATAAAAAAAAATTATTAAACTAATTTTAATTTACTTTTGGTTGAAACATCAAATATAATAATATTTTAATGAATGATTGATAAAATGCCTCGGGAGCTATTTGCAAGTGAAAGATAATAAATAATAAATTGTTATAATAATTGAACAAAATTTCAATGGTTTGATCATAAATTTATAATATAAAATGATCTGTAATGATCCTCATTTATTGTTCCGCGTTATAAAATCAACCATAGACCACACTGATTAATTTGAGTCACATATATATATATATATATATATATATATATATATTGAAATTTATATATATCATTTAAATTTTGATGCCTGAATTCTTGTATATGTGCATATCTAATATAACTTTCATTTTTTAATACATGCCATGTTATTATATATATATATAGGGGTGTAAACGAGCCGAACAGGAGCGAGTCTTGGCTCAGCTAGTGTTCAGCTCGTTTATAATTCGAGCAAAGAAAGTGCGTTCGTGTTCGACTCGTTTGCTTAAAAAGCCGAACACGAGCCGTTTACGAACAAAGAGTCATTTTGACAACCCTAATCACGTAGTCATAAGATGTTGAGGAATTGGACAAGATTTAATAATACTTATCATATATATATATATATATATATAATTGATTAGGTCAGCCGTGATCTGATGGTAGAAAAACGTCTTTGAAGGTCTTAAGTCCCCTCAGGGCACGGGGTCGTAATCTTGTACTTATCAAAGATATATAAATATAATTGATTAGTAGTATTTCGAGTTAAAACGAGCCGAACACGAATGAACAAATATTATTTATGTTCGGCTTGTTAACTTAGCGAATGAGCCGAACATGTATGGAATATATATATATATATATAACAAAGACGAAAACAATAATAAAAATAGTAATAAATCTGAAATGATTAATATTGATTGATGACGAGGCAGTGATAAGCATGGCTAAGCACAACTTAATCATGAAGTCGTTCTTTCGTTCACTCTTGCTGTTGTTATGATAATAAAAATTATCCTGACGAGGCTATCAAATTCAAAATGAATTTAAAATTTAAAATAAGTTCACACTACCTTACGAACTTAAAAAATAAATAAATAAATGGAAAATTTACATATATGGCACTTTATTATCATTTATTTACATATCTCGCCTCTAAATTTTCATATATATATATATATATTTATATATATATTTGATGCAGAAAAAGTGATATATATTCCTCATTATATATATATATATATATATATTTGTGTGTGTTGTTAGCTGAAGCCCGATTAAACCAACAAACCGCCACCCGCTCTCACTCCCGGTTCCCACTCCCGATCGCGAAACATCGCGACCCAGCTCCCGCTCCTCTATCGTGATTCCTTCGGCTCAGTCGCGAACTGTTCCAGTCTTCCCTGTTTCCACGAAGCGAAGCACCTCTTCGTTTATTATAAGTCGCGAACAGAACAACAAGGTTGGATTGTCTCTCCGGTTTGCGGTTCTTCCTTTGGTGGCTTACGAAGGAGAAAAGGAGAGATAGATAGAGAGATAGAGGAAGAAAGTATTGCGAGGTATCACAGGGCTCTTCTTCAGATTTGACACTGTCTATATTGTGTTCTTCTCCGAGAGTCCTCGAGATAGAGGAAGAGAAGTGCAAGCAGTAATTCCTTGCGGCAGAAGGAACAAGAAAGAAGAAGAATATTGTTCTCCCTTGGCTTATTCTTGGTGGTTTGTGGCAGAAGAAAAATTGAGTTTATTTCTTTTGTAAGTTTATCTTTTTCGGTGTATCTCGGTGTAGAGAGAAGAAAAGAGAGTAACGGAGTGAAAGAGTTCACTCTTGTAAGTCGAGACGATCGACTAGTGTAAATTCCTCAAGTAGTAAAATCCTCTGTAACTCCGTGAACTTAAACAATTTGTCGAACCACGTAAATCTATGTGTCCCGCTGTGTTATTATTTTTTGGTGTGAATTTTCTAGTTCTACTTTTACTTCCAAAGATCGTTCTTCTATTTTCATCTATATACCACAACATGTGTATGTGTGCGCCCTATCATTGTAGGGGACTTATGGACAAAGTAAAAAAGGGTGGGGACTCTACAATGCTTTTTCCTTTTGAATGAAACTCTCTTTTTTTCATGTTTTTACTAGAGGTCTTAAGAAAGCAACAATCAATAAGATTTTTTGAACTCTCCCTGCTTGAAAGGAAGAACTTGAAATTCTTGTTCCTTTAGGCAATGACCAGGAAATTGGCTCTAGCCATAGTATAAGAAGAGTGCTTGGTATAAATAACTCACTACTTTGTTTTTGAACCTCTCAATCACTACGAGCAGTTCTCGATCAATGCAATGGGATGCCTATTTTTCAATCTCTTGATTATAAATGGGAGGACCGAGCAAATTTGAAAAGGATCTTAGAGTGTCTATGGTTGGGCCAGAATGGTATCTTAACACTTTCTTTTTTCTTCCTATCAGATTGATTTTACAAAGACTTGTCATGGTAAAAGAGAATGGGGAACAAACACATTTGAAGGGTGTGGTACAATGAAGAGTTGTATGCTACTTTTGAGAAGGATGAATCACTCCCGAAAAAGAATATATTGATTCTCTCTAAATTGTTGGATCAATGACTTGCTTCACAGGTATCCATCGCTCACCTGCCATGGTTAAGCTGTTGGTAGAAAGATTGAAAGAGGAAGAGTTTTGTTCAGAGCAAATCAAAATGAATCTTTCATATGTTGATCTTGAAAAACCTCTTGAATCTCCTGTTCTGGTGAGCTAACGTTTTACTTAAGAGGATTGACTCTCAAACATTACCTCCTAAACACTCGCCTAGCCAGCGAGGACATTGAAGTCCTTTTAGGCCTTAACATAGCTTAATGCTCACATAAATTTTATCAATTCTGTCATAAAATTCTTAAATAACGTTATGCTAAATGAAACACTAAGTTATGTAACAATTGACATTTTCATCAAGTATATTACAACACGTGAAATTGCATGACAATAGCCACACTTCACATTTTTATCCAAACTCGAGCTTTATTCTATCCGATTCAGGCTGAGCTTGTCAACCAACTCATCAACTCCAATCCGATTTTCAATCAATCTTAGATTTCATTCACAGAAACAATCTGCATGAAATCATCACATCATATAAAAAGGAAAATAAAGATACATGCCACTCAATCTTTATGTATTTAAATATCAACGCCAAGAGAAAAATATTGCGTGCAGTGGACTGTACTTCCGGACGACGGTCCAAATGCGACTACAATACACGGCGGTCCATTCGGACCCGTCCGGACGTGCAGTGGCTGCACTCAATATTTGCTCCTAATCAAGTGTAATGTTACTCAACTCCAGATATCTGGATTCACTCCCCTTCATCAGCTTCCTCAGCCCAACTTTCAACTCTTCAACACCCTCACCTAACACAGCACAGACTGGCAATATCGAAACTCCGTGAACCCTAATCTTCAATTCCTCGTAAACCTCCTCGGCTCCTTTCTCATCAATCTTATTCGCCACAATAATTGACGGCCGCCTCGACAAACCCACCTTGTGATTTTCAAGCTCCAAAACCAGATCTCTCAGTTGCTCCCATGGCATAACCCCCTTCGTTCCCTCCACCGCCAAGTCAACGACATAAGCGAGAGCCTTGGTTCGCTCGATGTGCCGAAGAAAAGCATGGCCAAGCCCTCTATCCTCATGAGCTCCTCTCACAAGTCCGGGAATATCCGCCACCGAAATCGAGAAGAAATCATCATAGTTCAATCTCCCAATGTTCGGCCTCAAAGTAGTGAAAGCGTAGTCGCCGACCGCCGGATTCGCCCGCGAAATCGCACCAAGGAGAGTGCTTTTGCCGGCGTTCGGCATCCCGACGAGCCCGACATCGGCAATGCTCTTGAGCTCTAATATGAGGACTGAGTCCGAACCCAATGCGCCCGAAATTAATGAGAATAACTCTTCATCATCTAAGGTTTGCGTGGAAGATGAAGCATTGAGCTTCATGAGCCTTCGGTGGTGCTTCACGTCTTTGTTAAGAGCAGCGTTGCCGAGCCCCCCTTCGCCGCCCCGAGCGACTAATATGCGTTGCCCGGGTTGGGTTAATTCGGCGACAGAATATTGCACAGATTCATCAAACTCGAAGTGCCATTCCTCGGCTTCCTCAGCTTTGTTGTCGGCTTTCCACCACTCATCATCATCATTATCAGCATCTTTCCACCATTGATCCTTCTCCAGTTCTTCTGAAACTTTTTCATAAGAGCAGTTATTGCAGTGCTCATCTTCAACCTTTTTCAATAGAGGTGAAGGTTTTAGCTTATTGAATCTCTGCTTATTTGTTTCTGCAGGAGATAGAGGATCTTCATAAGTAACAGGAATTTCCCAAGGATCCATGGAGGTAATTGAATTATTGCTCACTAATGTAGGAAGAGTGCCGCTGACTAAATGAACCACAGTGCCCACTGGAACGTGTGCAACCTGCTCAGAATAAGCTTCTCTAAGAGAATGTAGATGATAGCTTGAAATTAAAAAAAAGGGAAATTTACATGCATGCCATACTATTCTTATGTATTTACATCTCTAACAGCAAAAGTTTGATATTTACACTTATAACATCTTGGTGTCATGGGGGAGGGGAGGGGGGCGGGGAAATGAGCCCAAAGGGTAATATGTGTGATTAGAACAGGCGACATCGCAGTAAGAAACTACATCTTCAACTAATTATGTCGTGGGTAAATGCATTGAAAATGTGCATTTTACTTTTAAAAAGATAATAAGGGTGATATTCTTTATATGATGTTAAAGATTCGTTTCGTATTGCAACTATAGATGCTCAAATAGGTAATTTAATGAGAACATTCAAACCTTGTCCGATCCACGGGTCCCAATCATGTTTTTTGAAATTCCATTACCCCCCTTTTTGGCATTCTGCAACATTAAGTTTACACGTTGTTTAATCAATCACAAAATCAGTTTAGATGAACTGTAAAAGAAGCAAATAGAATAGCACGCAGATTTACATGAAAAATCTATAACAACAATAATAATAATACTTTATCCCACTAATTAGGGTTGGCTACATGAATCCTTTTTCCTCCAATGTCTTATTGAGTAACATACTTTCATTTAATTCTAATAAATTAAGATCATATTTTTATAAAATATACCCAGGTTTTTTTAGGTCTACCTCTATCTTTTGTAACATAAGTTGAATCTGAAACATCTACCCTCCTAAAAAAATCATCAGATAGTCAATGTTTAATATGACCAAACTATCTAAGAAGACTCTCTCTAATCTTGTCTGCCATTGGAGCTACACCAACCCTTTCACGGATATATTCATTTCACATTTTATCTCTAAGTGTAAAGTTATATATATAAGCGTACAAAAAACACTAATCAAAATTGATTCCAAATATTGCACTGCAAGCTTTTCAATTCAAGCCCAACAAAATTAGTATCACAAATTCTAACAATATCTTTACAGAAACAACACGGACAAAAAGGAAAGTTTTGCAATGTTAAACCCATTAGAATAAATCAAACTTAAGAAATAATTGCATCAACACCTTCCTCCTCTCTTGTAAAACATTTGTATTATTCTTTGAAATGGTGAGCACCAAAGTGAAAATGTAAGCTTAGTGTGAGTGCACTGGAATTTGGACAGATGGAGGAAAGCCGAAAACTCTCAATCACTTGGCCACAGCTCAAATCCCACAATTCGTTTTGGGAAAATTTATAGCCAAAGAAAAATTTTTGATGCGTACTACCTAATTCATATGTATTTACATATCTAACACATAAAGTTTGCATTCTACATTTAATCAAAATACATAGATATGGAAGGGTATCTATCTAAAACTTTTTAGATCAATTCACCCACCAAGTGGTGTTGCAGATTACTGAAATCCCACAGAGTTGCTGAGCATTCCAAATAAACATCACCACCTCTTCCACCATTGCCTCCTAATCCACATGTAGCGTTCATCATTAAGAAGAAAAACTGATCAATCTCCTTAAAATAACATAAATATGATAACTCAAATCATAAACTCAAGAGTGAAGCAGATCAATCTGAAAAATCAAAGCAAAAGAATTTACACATTAAACTCAAAGAAAACATTGATCAATTACCATCAGGTGTGCCGTGGCGGTCCGTTCGGCTTCGCCGGTAGCTCCAGCACCCATTTCCTCCTTCACCTCCTTTGGCCCAAACCCTAAAACGATCCACCATCCTCCTCTCCTACAAAAACAGAGAATTCAATCCAAATAAGTAAGAAGAAGAACATATCCACCTCCATTACTCTTCTTTACTGCAACCACCATTGTTCTAACTCGACCAAAGGTTAGAAGAAATAAAAAAGACACAGAGAAAACAGCAAAAACTAAGGAAAGGAAAGATCTTTACAGAAACAATCGAATCTTTAGAAGGATACCTGCAAAGGAGTCGCTTTTCCCTTCTTCTTCGCAGGCGAATCTGAGTAAGAAAGCGCAGTAAATAACCAAAATGGCTCATTTTTTGGCCTGAGAGCTCCATGCGCATGGGCGAGAACCCCACGTCGCCACCACATCGTTCACTAAATTCCTAAAGCTTGAATGGAGAGATGAATGGCATCAAATTTTGATGAAAAGATCAAATTTAGCTTCTTTTCTATTAAAAGACCACTATTTTATAAACGAAAAGAGTTTCCTACCAATTTCTTGTGTTAGATATCTATTACTTGCCGAAGAGACACCTATGTAGAAGAAGCGCGGAGGTCGACGCCGAGAATCCACGGCGGAGGGAGGAAATTGAAAACGTTGAGATTTCCTCATGTTAGGATTAGGGTTTTTTTGGTTTTGGGGTTTTATTTTTTTTTTTAATGTGATGGT